CCCAAGCATCTCCATCCTGAGGACCGTCTGTCTTTCGAACCACATCTTTCCATCTTTCTGTCTCTTTAGGTCGGAGATTCCAACTAAACCTTAGGAAGAACTTCCCAAGGATAAGAGCTGTTCAGCAGAGGAATATTCTGGAATACAGACAGTGGTGGAGTCTCCTTCCTCGGAGGTTTTTAAACAGAGGCTGGACAGCCAGCGCCTCTTGAAAGTGTCTTCCTGCATGGCAGAAGTGGGTTGGAGTGGATGGATGGCCCTTTGGGGTCCCTTCCAGGTCTAGGAGTCTGTGAATTCCAGTATCCACACACACACACACACACACACACACCCCATTTTGGCACTGCAGCACCCAGAAGCACACGCCTCTCTCTCCGCTGCCATTCCTTCCAAGCAAGGGATTTGGGGTTTTTAGCCCCGTGTTTAGCAGGTGCATGTAGGGAAATGAGGGGGATATCTAGTTCCCAAGCCGGCCGTGGCATTTGCATGGGATTGAGCCTTTCGGCTTATCGCTTAGGCCTCCGTTGCATCGCTATGCAAAACCTTTGACTCCGACTCCTTCATGAAGGCAAAGGTATCTGCATCAGGAACAATAAATTTACTATAGGAAAGCAATTGGTTGCTGCTTTGTGCCTTTGTATCTGACTTGTGGCAACCCTAAGTCGAGCCGATCGCGGGGTTGTTCGGAGGGCTTTTGCTTTGCCTTCCTCTGAGGCTGAGAGAGTGTGACTTGCCCAAGGTCACCCAGGGGGTTTCCGTGGCTGAGCAGAGGGGGATTCGAACCCTGGTCTCCAGAATCCAACAGTCAAACCACTATAGCAATCTAGCTTATTTAGGAACAAGAGGCTCCCTCAATAATAGGAATTGTGTATATGTGTGTGTGTGTGTGTGTGTGTGTGTTGCTAAATCCGGATTTTGGAGATCCAGGGGCCGACAGAGATTCCAGTGTTTTCCCTCCCTTCTTCTTCACTGGTCCTTCACCTTTCTTTCCTCTTTTCTTGCAAAAAGA